TATTTCATATTTCATAGTCAGAAAACCGCATGGAAGGGCGCAAGGCGCAATGCGCAAGCAGAGCGGAGAGCGGAGAGTGGCGAGCAGGACTGCCCCTGTTGTCACTTTCAACCCATCTGCGCACTCCAATTGGGAACTGGCTGCAGCGTTTGTTCAAGTGTTTTGCTTGCGGCTTTTGTTTTGCCCTACGGCCAGGAAACAGTCGCAGCACAGCAACAGCAACAACAACAAACAGCAACAGGCAGGCGGTCTGAAGTGGTAGGACTCTACGCCAGCATAGCTCAACGTCATCGTCGTCAAAGGCAACAAACTTGGGGGCCAGCTGCAGAGACTGAGAGTGCGACAGCGACTGCTTGCAAAAGGATTTCATGTTTATTGCAAGTTGTATTTTTCCTTTTGCATGCCTGCTTATTAAAAACAACAACAGCAACAAAAAAAAAAAAAAACTTTAAAATAACTTTTTGTGTGGCTTCTTCGTAAATGCAACGTGTCAGTCGCAAGTTAAATGAGTTTCTCTTCGCTTTTTTTTTTTTTTTGCCTCTGTTGCTTCACAGGAAGTTGTTAAGTGTTGCCCTGGCAGAGGCCGAGGCAGAGCCAGAGACAGCGGCGCATCTGTCTTGGTTGCCCTGAGCCTAAGTCTCTGTGCCAGTTACTTGGCACAGCCTGCACACAATGCTGTGCAGGGGCGCCACTAAATTAATTAAGCCATTCTCAATGAAATCGACTAAAATGCGAGGCGCAACTGAAACTGTGTCATGCCATGCACCAGCACCAGCAACAGCAACGGCAGCAGACTGAAAAATACTGGAAAAAAAAAGATCAGCAAACAGGCGACTTAAACTCCAGACACGTACGCGCCAGGAAACCGAGTCGACTCGAGTCGAGTCGCGTCGCGTCAGTTGGCCAATCCTCAGCACAAACAAACCCTGTTTGAGGCTGTGGCATCAATTTTTGTCCAGTAGCCAGTAGAAAATGTCACGTTTCTTTAGCCACATAAGTTACAGCGAGAGAGAGAAAAAAAAAAACCGTGAGAATTGCGGCTGTTAAGTTTTTCCTGCAAAAACTAAAAAAAAAAAAAAAAAAATTGGTACTTTCCATGGTGGAAATTAATTGCTGGCCGTGTTATCGTCGTCGTCTAAGACACAGTCGAGCAAATTAATTGGAAAGCAGTGCAAAACACACAAACCAAAATACCCAAAAAAAAAAAAAAAATTAAATAAGATATCCAGAAGTAAACTCACAGCCAACAAAAAAATTGAGTCTACAAAATGAGCTACTCTATTAAACTACTCGCAAAAGCTTTTCCAACACTGTCCAATCAATAAAAAAAAAAAAAAGCAAAAAAGAAAACTGGTTAAAATTAATGTAAAAAGTAAAGTTGAAGAAAATGAGCTGAGAACGTAGCAATCACCATTTTCTGCGAGTTTTACAACACTGGAAAGTAGGGGTCAAATTCTAAGAATAGTATTGAGATTATGTTCCTTTTCAACACTGGCACTCCTACTATATAGGACAACTGGTCAAACTGGTCAGATTCTGTTAGTTATTTTAACTATAACTAACTAATAAATAGATACATAATATATGCACAAATTTTCATAGAGCCTTTTCCAACATTGGAACATAAATTTCGAAAATTCAATTACAGCTTGCTTTTATGTACAGCACGAAATGTTTTATAACTTTCAGTTAATGCACTTTATGTTGCTATTGTTGCTGTTGTTGTTGTTGTATTTTACTGTTGTTGTTTCTAGGGAAAATTGCATTTTCAGCTCTTGGCTCGTAAAATTGTTTATGATCCGCGTTTTCCAGCAGCCATTACATAAACTTAAGTCCGGTCAGTCCCTAGAAGTTCGGTCTATGGAAATGCAAGTCCAGCGTATGTCTTAGCACGCCCACATTGACGCCTATCTCAGTTTCTCTCTCTCTCTCTCTCTCTCTCTCTCTCTCTCTCTCTCTCTGCGTTTTCTTACTTCTAATTGCCAACTAATTTAGTAAACGTTTTTGGCCAAACACAGCGCTAAGAACTGAACTGCACAGTTCAATGGCAACGTATGCAGCGTGCAGCGTTGCCATCGTCGCATTTATGTGGGCTCATAAATATGCAAATATCCTTTAAGTACTTTTAATGTCTGGTCATTTGTTGGCCAGGCTTACGACGATTCCTACAACAGCGTCTGCCAGCTGCCAACTCCCTCTACCTAATGGCCTTAATGGCACGCGGGGCATTGTCGCCAGCGTCTTGGGGCATATTTACTTGCATCTCCTGGCTGCCTATGCAGCCACAAATGCAATTTCTATTCAGCTTTATAGGCACATAAATAACACCTTTACTCTGAGTCTGTATCTGTGGGGCTTTGTGAGTGTATATGTGGATTGTGCGAAAACTTGACGGATTTTCGGTATATTCCACGAGGGAAGTCTTAAAAGTAATACTAAATTTTAAAAATTCTCCATCCTCGCATATGGATAAGAACTCGGTTAATAACAAATGAAAAAAAAAAAAGAAAAAAAGATAATAATAATAAATAATGTATATATATATAAAATATATTGGTATATAATGTACCGATATATATGTATAACATATATGTATATTGAGCTCTCAAACGAAATTTAAAGCTTTCGTAGAATTTGAGTAGGTTTTCGTAGTTTTTCATAGTTTTTTTTCCTTAGTTTCTTTCTAGTTTCCTTCACTCAGTATGCTTGGTGCTCTTATTTTTAATTAAAACAAATGTTTGGTCAAAGTCGAGTATGGAATTTACGTAGACTGCGTGTTCAAGTAGCGTGTAAAGTAATTTACCCACCCAGCAAAACTTTTGTGGACGTTTAATTTTAAGCGCAAAATAAATAAACAATCGCAGAGGCACGACCAAACGCCAAAAAGTCCTTCAAAATGAGCTAAGTTGAGTTTCACTTCAGTTAGTTAGTAAAAACAAAAAAGAAAAGAATATGTAAGAGAAAAGAGAAAAACAATGGAAAATAGAAACTTGCCATTACTTTCGTTTTTTACTGCCCCAGACTTCTGGTACTGTTGTTGKTGCTTAGGTTAGGTTAGGGCACATACACACAGCTAGATGGATGGTGGGTGTAATACCTGTGTCTATGTGAGTGCGAGTGCTTCCGTATGTGTGTGCTCGTATGTAAAAGTCTAATCGTCCTTCAACCATGTTTTATAGGGCAAAAGCGAACGAAAATCTGCCCAGTATCTATAATAGATTTAAATATATATATAAATACTCGTTAATGAGCTGCTTCGATTTAATTAATTTTTTTATTACAATATTTTCTTTCTAACAGTTATGTTGCTTTTAAACTGTAATCTCTCTATGGAATATATATGTATGAACTATAGTTTAAATCTAAGATCGTATTGGGATTACTGTAGCTGCAACTGTTGCAACTTGCAACCGACAAATATTGTTAGTAAAGTAAAGTCTGCAGTTCTCTAAAATTTCAAAATATTAAAATATGTATTTCATTGAAATTATTTCTTTAATAATTAATAAATAAAAAAGTCTCTTTAAAAGTGAATACAAATTCAAGCTTCTCTATTATATGTCCTTTAGTCATAAATTATTCGCACTATATTTTTTGCTGGATATATTACCTTTTACCTGGAGTAATCGTACTATATAAATTCTATATCTAATGCTCACATACTTACCTTATCAAATACTATATTTTATATAGCTATTTCAACAAGCTTATCTTATTTTATTTTTCTAAAATAATTTTATAACCGATTTGTATTCCTCAATCTATACAGTAATCTGCGTAATATATACAATATTATACACAAGCATACTTACATACATATGTATGTTATATACATATATCAAGACTTTAGCAATAAATAGAAGTGTATTTATATACTATACTTTTCCTCGTGTGTGTGTGTATGGAGGACTATTGTTGTGTTTGTGAGGTCCAGAGGTGTACAGGCGTAGCCATAAAAATGTAGCCCTGCTTGCTCTGAAGACATAAATTGCTGTTTGCTGTTGCTTGTGGTTGTAATGAATATAAGACGAACGTTTCATTGCCTGTATTTTGTATTATATTGTATTGTGTACACACACAAACACACGCACAAACTGCCACACATGTAAGTGCTCACAATTGCTATTTGGTTCAAGCACAAGCTTCAAAACTTGCCTCAGCTTTTTCTTCTGGCTGACAACAGGAAACTTGTTGAAGCAGCCAATGCAAAAAAANTTTTAAAATACTAAAAATGATTTAAAAATACTAAAAAATTATTTTAAAAACTGTTCAAAAATCTGAAAAAAATTATGATCTTACCTATAACGTAACCCGTGTAGAAAATTGTGCCAAGCTAAAAAAAAAACATAAATATAAATATATATTAATTAGCAAATTAGAAAGACAGAATAGAGAAAAAAAAAAGTAAATATCTGCCTCGCACACATATACAACTATTCAGCCAACCCTCGCAAATAGTTGTGCGCTCTAGCATAAGCTAACTCCAAGACCAACTCCAGTCGTCTTCAATATTTAAAAAAAAAATGCAGCAAACTCCTCAAACTACTCTCGCTCATAACTTAACTATCTAGGCATATGACACTCTAGTATATGTAGTAACTCACGCAGCTTTAAGTATTTGCTCGACCCTAGGCCAAAAAAAAATTAGGGCTAGCCATAAATATGCTCGTAAAAATAATAATAAAACCCTTTTCACTAATTAAAACACAACAAACTTGCAGGACTTGCCAAGAGGAGGAACACTCAGAGCCACAGAAAAAAAAACAGCAGCACTAGAAGAAGAAGACAGGACGCCAAGACCCAAGTTGAATTCGCACACTGTGGCCAGAACGACGAGGAGCAGCAAACCGAATGCAGTATCTCAACTACGCTCTGAAAAAAAAAACGCGACTGCTGACCAGCCACAGCCACAGCCAGAGTCAAAGTCAAAGTCAGAAAAAAAAAGAGACGAAACTCAATCAGAATCAGCAGCAGCAGCAGCAGCAGCAGCAGCAGCAAAAAAAACAGAAGCAGAAGCAGCAGCAGAAGCAGCAGCATCATCAGAATCAGCATCAACGTCAGCGACAACGTCAAATAGCAGCAATTGAGGCAGCAGCAGCCGCAGCCACGCCCATTGAAGAGCAAATAGCAAACGCCTGCTGCAGTCGTGGAGCCCAATTGCTGCGGCTGCGTCAACAGGAATTACTAAAGCGACGCGCGCTCGAATTGGAGGATCAGTTGAACGGGAACATTGATAGCTGGGAGAGCGACGCCAATAGCAGCGAGGAGGCCGAAGAGGGAGCGGTGGGTGGACATCAGTCAGAGCAAACAGAGCAGCAGCAGGAGCAGCAGCARAAGCAACCAGAGCAACTGAAGCAGCAGCAGCAGCAACAACAGCGGCAGCAGCTCGAGCCGCAGCCGGAACGTGAGCCGCAGCCAGTCCAATGAAATTTACTCTCATTTAATGTTCAATTGGCGCGCAGCAAGCTGCTCTCATTCTTTAATCGCGACATGGCCGCCACCGATGGCCAAATCATATTGGCGGCATCCCGTTTCGGTGATGCCACGCCCGTTTATTTGCGCGACTTTTCCAAACAGCCGCTGCCGGCGGTGGCCAAAATACTTAAGGGGCAGCACCAGGCGCTGGGCGTGCCCACCCTTTCGGCGCCCTCGTTGCAGAGCACCGCGCTATTCTTGAGCGCCGGCAAGAAATATCAGATACTGGCGCAGCCCATCAAGATCAAAGAGGGACGCAAGCCCACCAATGTGGGCGCTAAGGTGCTCATACCGGAGACCTATAACGGCTACTTCGAGCTGCTTAGCGAGGATGGCCGTTCGACGCGCTGCATCGACTCGGTGCTGGAGCTGGCGCGACGACGCAACGCTCGGGTCCTGGTGCGTGAGACGTTCCGTTGCCAGCAATTGAATCGCACCATTCACGCCGGCGAACTGCTGACCACCATGAACGACAACGGTAAATTTCTGCAGTGCCGCAACATCAAGGACGAGATCATCAATCTGCCACTCGATACCAAAGCCAAGTTCTCGCCGATAGCGCGCGAGGACAGCATCAGCGGTGTGCATACGGTCAAGAATCTGTTGCTCAAGCGTATGCCAGTGATTGTCAGGTGAGTTGGCCAAGGATGTGGATAAAGCTATATACATACATATATAGAATACTCCTTAAATTTGTGATAGAAGAGCATATTAGATTTTATAACCACAGCTGGTAAATGGAATTATGGAAACGGACTGAAAATGTATAATTCAAATGTATAATTTAAAGCAATCTCAGAAGAGTTTAACGATTTTTAAACTATCTCAAATTATGCTCAAAGAGTATATTGGTTTTCGTTCAATGACCACAGTCGGGCTATCCAATCGTCTGTCTGCATTTCTATATATAGCCTTCTCTTTAGCCTTCTTTCTCTGTAGCCTTCTTCGATACTCATTCAGCTTGCCAAGAGAGGAGTATATTGGCTTCTATTCCTTCGACCTCAGTCAATGCTGTCCATTCGTCCTTCCGTCTATATTTCTGTGATTATATATGACTTATTGAACCTAGATACTTGAGATTTAGAATGATGGTTTCTCTTCAATACTCGTTGACATTTTTGAAAGGGAGTATATTAAATATTGCCAGCTGAACATACACTTTTAAGTATCCCAAGACTTTTTCTTATGCGTCTATAAGAAGGATAGACTTTCCTATTAGGTATATAAAGCTCAAATATATATTGAAAAATAAAAAGAATATTATATACATAAACCTCTAGACCACCGTCCCAGAAATATATCAAATATCTCAAGAAATATATCATATATCTACAAGTATGATATACCATCCTACCAGAGTCGAGGGAAATCGTAAGACTACAAGATCTTCCATAGGAACTCCAGCTAGGAACTCGTATAAAGCAGTCGCTAATGCTCGACTGCAGCGCCTTTACCTCTTCAAGCCACTCCTCTAAAATTCTCTACTCTCTCTTCTCTCTCCAATTCAATCTCTCGGCAGACTCGTTCACGGCAGCGCGCCAAAGGGTCTGAAGCAGCCGTTTGTGCCGGAGCTGCGTCTGCTGGGCTGCGTGGAGATCGATCGGATCTTTGCGCTGCCCCTGCAAAAGGATACGGATTTGGTGCCGGTGCCGTTGAATGCGAAGATCAAGCTGCAGCGTGCCAAGAACATGGAGCAGCTGGAGCACTTCATTGAGTATACGCGCTTTCTGGACAAGGCGCAACGTTTGCTGGCCGATGCGCGCGATCGTCTGCAAGTTGTTGATCTCAAGCTGAGCGAGAAGGAGAAGAAGGACTCCAAGTTCAGCAGCCGCAATGGCAGCGGCAATCGGCTGCCCATTGTTATGCTGCCATCGGCCGCTGGCCTGGCCAGCGGCTGGATGGAGAGCGGCTATGTGTTGCGTAAGAGCGCCAGCTGTGATTCGTGGTCCAAGCAGCATCAGCTGCAGCATCAACAGCAGCAGCAGCAGCAACAGCAGGCGCTCAATAGCAACGACATTGCCGAGGAGTACAACGAGATTGATCACATCTATGATTATGTGCGTGGCCTGACACCGCTCTCGAAGGGTTTGGCACGATTCGAACCGATTTGCGAATCGCCTACGCTCAAATCGCATCATACGGACAGCAGTGGCAATGGCAACTATTGCAGCCTGATACGCGCACCGATTGCTGCAACAGCAGCAGCACCTCCAGCACAGCAGCAGCAGCAGCAGTCGAACAGCAACAACAACAACAACTACAGCAGTCTGGAGTCGAATAAGCACAGCAGCAGCAATGGCGGCAACACACATCATCATCAATATGCAACACAACAGCAGCAGCATCAGCAGCAGCAACAGCAACAGCAGCATTTGCTGGTCAATCACTATCATCATAGCCATAGGCAGGAGGATATTAAGCCCGTGCCGCCGCCCATCGAGACGATTCCGGGCAAGAAGCCAGCCGAGAAGCGACAGCGTCCCACACTACCAAAGCTTTACATCAAGAATGCGAATGCGCATAGCGCCGGCAGCAGCAGCAATGGCAACTCCACTGGCGGCACCAGTCACAGTCACAGCCATAGTCACAGTCACAGTCACAGTCACAGTCAGCAACATTTGCCGCCAACGCCCAATAACAACAGTAACAACAACATCAACAACAACAACAACAACAATACAGCTGCCATTGTGGCTGCTGCAGCGATCAATGCACATCATGCTCACTCGCATGGGCATCCACACACACACACGCACGCACACCCCCATCCACTGCCACATCCACACCCACACCACGGCAAGGTGCTGACGCCCAACAATCATTTGCCTGTTAAGGAATCGCTGGAGCCGCAGTCGCCGCTGTTTCATATCAGGTAAGTGAGAAATAGGGAGAGAAAGGGGAGGATATATATAATTAGATCTTGTTAGCAGTTTGCGCAAGAGATTTTTAGAAATTCTGAAATACCCATTAATTATGATTAACTGACAGTAAAAAACCTAAGAAGGGCTTAGCTTACTTCTAGAAATTCCCGATGATGGCATTACAGGGTATATTTTTTGTATGTAACGAACAGTCAAGAACATAAAAAACATATATATTCTTGAAGATCTAATTGGACATTGTTAGGTTATTTAAAAAAAAAAAAAAATACAGTAACAATATATTAAAAAAAAAAAGTTAAAATAAAAAAATATCTTATTAGATCTTGTTGAGCAAATTTTTAAAATTGCATTAGTGGGTTAATGTAAAAAA